CACGGCCTTGTGCATACTGGTCAAGCCCTCTACCACTGAGTTACACCTCCAACCACAAAAAAATATATACAATTATTATAAAAGAAACAAGTGCAGAAGGAGGTAGAACAAAGAAACCTAAAGACCACAAAAAGGTGGATCTACCTAAGGAGGAATCTTACACAACCAACCCCAACCTACTTTTGCAGGTTACTTCACACAAGAGAGCCATGCTTATGTGTGGCTGTGTGGGATGACTTGACCTCAGAAGTGAATGTGGAATTTTGGATTAAAAAGGACCAGAATTGGGTGTGTGGCGGGGGGGGGGGGGAGTACTAAAGAGAGATATAAGACATTTTTTTTCTCTTTCCATATTGTTTATTGGTACATTATAGTTGTTATAATGATGGGATTTGTTGTTACCTATTCATAAAATAGAACAATGTAATTTGCCCCATATCACTCCCCAATACAACCCCTCCCCTCCCCTCCAATCATCCTCTGGTCCCTTCCATCAGAGATTTAATGAATGAATAAGGAATACAAAACAGGTGTGCATCCTAGGACACAGAACACCTCCATCTGAATAAGACAAGGAAAGTCCAGGCTGTGGTCTCCATCCCACAACATGAACCATTTGCATTATATAATATGGTCACTCCATCCTTCAGGGAGTAAAACAGGATCAATAAACAAACCCTTCAACATCAGCCATTATACACTCAAGACTCTGAAGGTGGGGGCAAAAAAAAAAAGCAGAGACGATATTTACTTACAATATCCAGAAGTACAGAGGGGGTGTACCTTGTCCAAGATCCTTTTCTTATTTGTTTTTCCTTTCCAAAACATGTCATTTGGGAAAGGAAAGGACTCTATCACCCCTCAACAACATCAAAAATGAATAATAAACTCTTAAAGAATTGTCAAGCATGTTAGCTGACAATGTTTAATGAGCAGGCAATAGCCTGATTTATCATGCAGCAAGTGAGGTCTTTTGGGGGAAGAGAAGAACAAGAAGGTGGTAGGGATCCTTCAGCCAAACAAGCAGCACAGATCCCAAATGCTATCTATTTTTAAAGCCATTCTACACAATCAGACGATCTGCCCCTGAACAACACATAATATATGCTTGGCTTAGAGCAGCAGAAGAATAGGGAGTGATAGTCACTGATAACAGTAAGGAAAATTAACTATTGCTAAAAAAGCATCTCTTCTTGATGTCAAGACTTAAAAATATTACACTGAGTGCTCCTGGTCCCTCTTGAAGAGGGTCACAGACAAGTGGTATTGGCTTTAGACAAAGGTAGATGGAAGGCTCAGAGAGATCTGAAACCAGATGATAAGAATAATCCTGGAACACATGTTGCTTGTCAAAGAAAAAGCTTAAGGGTGATGATGGTGTGAGCCAGCTCCTTCCTGTTCCTCGAAGTCTCATCTCATTCACCTCACTTGCTCAGTGCTCCGCCTTCTTCACTCTCACATTCTGAACCATGCCAAATACTCAACAAAACTACATTACATGAGTATTGGTAAGGATGTGGGGGAAAAGGCACACTCATACATTGCTGGTGGGACTGCAAATTGGCACAACCAACCTGGATAGTATTATGGAGATTCCTTTAAAAACCTGAAATGGAAACACCCAGCTATCCCACTCCTTGCTATATACCCAAAGGACTTAAAAACAGCATACTACAGTGATGCAGCCACATCAATATTTATAGCAGCACAATTTACAATTGCCAAACTGTGGAACTAGATGCTCTTATATAGATGAATGGATAAAGAAACTGTAGTATATATACATAATGGAATATTACTCAGCATTAAAAGAGAATAAAATTATGGCATTTGCTGATAAATGGATGAAGTTGGAGAATATCATGCTAAGTGAAGTAAGCCAAACCCAAAAAAACAAAGGCTGAAAGTTTTCTCTGATAAGCGGATGCTAATCCATAATGGAGGGTAGGAGCAGGCATGGAATGATTAGGGCAAAGAGGAGAGAGGAGATGAGGGGGATATGGGAGCAGGGAAGATGGTGGAATGAGATGGAAATCATTACCCTACATACATGATGATTGCATGAATGGTATGATCCTATCTCATGTACAATCAGAGAAGAGAAAAATTGTGCTCCATGTGTACAATGAATCGAAGAATGTCCTGCTGTCATGTGTAACTGATTAGAAAAAACAAAAATTAAATTTAAAAAATTACATTTAAAAATGACAATCCTCAAAACAACTCCAGACTTTCCATTCCTTGACCATGTCATGTTTCCCTCTTGCCTCTGGTTCCTGCATAGATTATTCTCTGAATATTCCTACCCTTTTACCTTGTCCATTAACCTTTCTCACCTATAGCATCCTCAATATACACCTGTATCAAAAAACACAGACAGATCAGCTATCTGTCATTATTAAATACCATAATAGCTCCTCTGCTCTGCCTTCACAGCACTTGACAAGGTTTATAACTAAATATTTGCTTAAGCATTTGAACAACGCCTATGTTCCCAACAAAATTGGAGGCTCCAAGAAACCAAAGGCCTTGCTTATTTTGCTCATAATCGTATTCCCAGAGCCTGGAAAGGTTCCTAGGATATGGCTGTCACACAATAAATACAGGGAATATTATCAAATAAAAGAAAGTAAGATCACTAAGTCACCAGCCTTGTATTAACGCACAAAATCTGCTGAGCAGGTTATAGGACTGAGGCTCTATAACTCCGATCCCATGCACCATTTGGCCAGAAAAGGACCTTTTTTCTCTTATGAGACTTTATTCCTAATCATTTTGAGAAACAGTCAACTAACCATGTAGGAAACAGAAGCAAAAACCAGGAGCTACATCACTACCGCCACCTTAGCAACAATGAAGTCACATGACACTGTGTACTGGGATGGCCTGCACAAAACCAGGTCCCTAAAGCTTTACTGCAATATGTAGTCTTTATAGAAATAATTTTCCAAAACCTAGTGAAGTTGAGAATGAAATGTGCCATGACAAAGCACACAACTCCTGGCCACCAACCCTGCCAGTCCTTCACAACACTCCCAGGAAGATGTTCAACATAGCTGTGTTCACAAGAGCTAGGATTTGGAGGTACATGGCTACTTCGTTTTGAGGTATATCCCTAAGCACATAAATCAGTAAGATCCAATGGAGGGGCTGGGATTGTAGTTCAGCAGTAGAGTGCTCGCCTAGCACATATGAGGGCCTGGGTTAGATCCTCAGCACCACATAAGAATGAAAGAAAGATAATGTGTCCAACTACAACTAAAAAATAATGCAAATTAAAAAAACAAACAAAAAAAAATCCAATGGGCACACTGGAACACTCTGCTGTGCTAGACACAGTAACATCCAGAAGGGCTGCAAGGTGAAGGGATGTTTAAGGGACTGTGCTCTGTGCTGACCATACAGACAAGTGGAAGTTAGTATTAAACTGTTTAATCTCATTAGTCATGGAAGAGCAGGGGTTCCCATTCTGTGGACAGGGAGTGTATTGGAGATACTCCAGAAGCCCTGACCCCTCACTGAGTATTATTTATGGGTGCAATTAAATATACCTTCTTGATATTTGACCAATATGTAAGGGTATATAATTGTTTTCTGATCTGTATTTTTTATAAAAAGGTTAATACTAATGGCTTTGAACTTTCAAATTAGACAAAAACACACATGATATCTGATATCACATAAATCCCCTGTTAATGTGATCTATTACACTTAAGTAATACGAATTTTATTTACTTAAGACAACAAGACTATTCTAGGGGGAAAAAAAAAGGAAATGAGAGGGGAAAAGGGGTCATAGGACCAGATCTACTGCACATTATCAAGATCTTTAAGCAAAAGAACAAGGAGGCCAACAGTGAGATGTAGACAAACATTCTGATTGTGAATTCTGCCCCAGCTTCTCGCTCACCAACTTAGATTCTTTGTGCTTCAATTTTCCAATCTATAAAACACAGAATATTCTAGCCCCTGCCTCATAGAGTTTACTGTGAAAATTACTGTATCCGAATACATTTAAAGAACTTGGAACAGAGTAGCATGTGAAATGAGGCTGATAAATGTTAGGTATGACTCTTATGTAAATTAAAACAATATTATATATTTCTAAAGATTCCTGTATATCTACAGATTATTCTAAGTACATTTTAGTAGGAACCAACAGGGTAGAAGAGAAATTGGAATAAGGAGTAAGAAAGAGGCAAAGAAAAATAATGAAAGAAAATAAAATCCAAAATAAGAAAGAAGATCCTCAAGAAGCAATAATAAGAATGTACCATGCTTTAGGTCTGATAGTTAACTCAGCCCAGTGGATCTGAGGTATGAAAGAGGAAAGAATAGAGATGCTCATGGAGTCCATAAGTGCAGTAGAGTAAAATACTCATGCTCCCAATTCTGAAGATCCCAGAACTACGGTGACTACCACCTCCTATGCTTTCAACCTCTTTCAGAATTCCCAATATGCACTAAATGAACTTTCATTTGACTGGTGTTAGCGCAAAACAAACAAACAAACAAAAAAAACTATCTTATCATCTTTGACTAAGAAAGTCCCTCAAGTGTGGAAAAACAAAAATTCAGACTTGCTCTGTGTTGCCTCAGAAGGCAAAATATTTAAGAAGACAGAATGCAATGTAAAGAGACACGTTTTCAACACTTGGTTCTGCCCAGTAAACAAATAGGCTTCAGAAGTCTTGAGTCACCTATCACTGTGAATGCAAAGCTGGGTTTATACAACCATGTATCCAGAAAACAAGCTCTAGCTGGGAGGCTGAACAAGTTAAGATCCAAGGTTTTTCAAGAATGCATGCTGCCGGGATTCACTAAGATTTTTATGAACATGAAAAGTCCGGGAAATAGTGAAAAAATGCATTTTTGATACCAATGTTGGAGGGGAACACCAGCATTGCCACATAGACCCTTGCCTCGTCCCAGTTGTAACACATGCAATAGAAATTTCAGGAGGTAAGATTTCTCCACAGTCTACCACCAAAGTCTTCTGAAAGTCTCAGGCAAAATTAACAGAAATCACCTTTCTGATGTGACCACATATTCAGGGCTATGCCAGGTTGCCTTAGCAAATGTTAATGTATCTGCCTTACTTCAAAACTTCATTAATATTTACAGAGTATCTATCATACATCCAGCTTTCACATAAGCCATCTCTAGTAATCCTCCTTCCACTACAAGGAAATAACAATGTGACCTCCATTATAAAGCCAAGATTAAAAAAGCTCAAAGAGGGAAGAGTCTGTCCAAATTTCCAAACTTCATAAATACAAGATCACAACTTGAACTCAAGACACCTGCTAACAAATGTTACAATCTATTCACAACCACTTCACATTGTAAAGGAATAATGCGAAACCAAATCCTATGACACTCTTCTTGGGACTCTATATAATATAGTCTCAGATATCTAGACTCCTTTTAAATCTTGAGTCAACCACCTACAAACTCAATCTGTTTATGACATTGAATGATTTGAGGATGAACCATCTCTAGTCTACTCTCCTATGCGGTCCAGGTTCAGGAATTCTTCTTTACAACATAGTACCAGCCATGAGAATTTGACACAAACAAATGAGAGTCAATGGGAGTAAATGCAATAAAGACAAGTCTCGATTCCAAACCAGGAGACCATGTTCTGATTCCCTCTCTATGGCCATACTGCTATGGGGGCCTGGGAAGGTCACTTTTGCTTTGGAATTTATTTCCTCTCTGTAAAACCTAGTGGTTCTCAACTCTGGTTTCACAGAAACATATGAAAAACATTATAAAGTAGTGATGGGCAAACCCACTGCAGAACAATTAAATTAGAGTCTCCAAAGGATGAAGCTTAGCATTTATATTTTATAAAATCTTTGCCAAAATATAGCCAGAGTTGATGGCATATATGAACTCTGAGGTTTTTCTCAAGAAAACGTAAGGTTCTCTCTTCCTGAAAGAATAAATGAATTAGGCTACTCAGGCCATAATTCCCATATTAGACTTTTTGACAAAGTCAGGTACTACATTCAGGTGGTATGGCTATAGACACATGTCAGACTTCCAAAATCCCCAATGCTTCAGAAAACATCTTTAATTAAAACAGTCATCAATGGAGAGATACCATCTGCTCTTCCACTGTTCCTGTGGTCACCAGCACCTGCTTTTAAGAAAACAGCTGTGAACATGAGAAATAATAGCAGTTCTATAGTAATAGCAACATTTCTAGAAAGCTTAGAAGAATTGGAGCTAAGTAGGACATGGAAAAAAAATGTAGCCACAAAAAACAATAACTGTCCCATTATACTCTAAACAACTTTGCTCTACTGCTAGATTGAAAACCAGCAAACAAGGGGCTTTTGAAGAAGGCAGAAGCCTAGGTGGGGCTTGGAGAATGGGAAGGAAGACAGTACACCAATGAGTAGATGACAAGTCTTGGAATGAGTACAACATTTCAATCAGTCAGTGAGAAATTCAGGACACTCAGGAAATGAAGTCAGAAGAGCAGAGGGGGGCTAAAGTTTTTCTAAAAATAAATGAAGACAAGTAAAAACAAGAATCAACAATAAAGATGAAAACCCATGAAAGCTTTTAGATGGCATTATAAAACCTGTCAATTCAGAGGATAGAGAAGTTAAATATCACACACTGTCACCAACAGGCCTCAGGATGCTTTTCAATGCATAATGCTGAGATGAACTTTGGTTGATGGTCTGACCCCAACAGGTCCCCTGAAACAGAATCTGGAGAGCAACAGAAAGAGACAAACATAAGAAAAACAGAAAGTCACCTGCTACTTTCACCAGATCATAAAAGCCATGTGAAATGTGAGCTACGAAATGTGGCCAAACCTGCATGCTCCATTCAAATGATGGGCAACACTAGCATACATACTAAGGGGAACTGCTTCTAGTCATTTTAGTGAAGCCCCATGAGCCTTGAGCTAAGCATTGGGGACAGGACTTTTCAGAAATTATTAAGTTCAAAGCACATGTGTAAGACCACTGCCTTGGAGCAGATGAGAAAGCTGTTCTTACTGAAAAATAAGAGCATGAGGTACAAAAGTGGCAGACAACACCCCCTCCTTGCCACATGGGACATGGGAGAAGTAAATTAAATAATTCATCATGAGAGAAGCCTTTAAGGATGTCAAAACTGATAGCAAATCAAAACATGTTCAAAGGACAAGGAATTCTTATCTCCTTACCCGACCGTGTAGTGTGTATGTGAACATGTGTGTGTGTGGTTTTACATCACTTAAGCTTATATCCATTTATTTTCTCATAGGCTACCTTCCTTTCTGTGCATAGGGCCAAATCCAGGAGGTCAAAAAACTTCGATCCTTCCTTATTCTCAGCCCTTACATAGTGCATTATGGGCTGGGGTTATGGCTCAGCAGTAGAGCACTTGCCTAGCACATGTGAGGCACTGGGTCTGATCCTCAACCCCACATAAAAATAAAGTTTTTACGTCCATCTACTGTAAAAAATATTTTTAAAAAATTGTGCATTATGCATGATGGCTTCTCAAACATTGCCTGAATCAATGAATGGACAGATGAATAAATAAATATTACATTTCCTCACTGTATGCAAGTATCTTTCTTTCATAAGATCCTGATGACACTTTAGTCCAGATATACCTTCCTAATTAATCTATAATCAAAGGGACATAAATAAATTTTTGTTTTCCAATTTAGAATTTCAATGCATAGCTCAAGTTATAAGACTGTTGAGTCCATAAGTCCATAAGTTTTAATTTCTCAAACTTTATCAACATATTTCTTAATCCTTTCAATGCATACATGAATAGATACAAGGCCATACACTCAGATTATTTGTATTTTCAGAAAAAAAATACAGCTCAACCATAAGAATGCTTTGCAGAACAAAATATATCATCCTTGTGGTTTGATGCATTGAAATTAGTTATTCTATTCAAAAGAAATAAAAAATGACTGAATTCCAAAGAAGAAATTTCCAGGTTGGAACATTTTAATGAAGGAAGGAAAAACACAGATTCTGAGCAGGTTTGAGGCAGACTCAAAGGCATATTTGAAAATTATGCACTGTATTTGCAGAGTGAAGCATCTCTACTTAAAGTACATTCTCTATACACATGC